TATTATCGTTTATTAGTTATAAAAAATCAAAATTTTTGATTGGTCAGCTGGCACATGATCTGCAAAGTGACCAATCAATAAATTTTGCCATATCGGGAATTAGTTCATACAAAAAAAAAATGCAACGGTGACGTTATTTCTCTGCCCATATTTAGAGCATGTTGTGTAACGAGATACAAATCACTGTTTGTATCCCATGTGCTCGTGGATTGTGGTAATAATATAGTGAAAATCTTCGAGACCAGCGTCAGCGCCAAAATTAATGCCATTTGTGATACAAATGCTAAACCAGAAGTTAATTTTAGTCGGGCCATCATTGAAAGGCGGATGCATTTTATTGCTTTTTCTAAATTTGGCTTTTCATCATTAGAATCTTTATCTAGGTATTCATAATATTAAAAATTCAATAAAATGAAAATATTTAGCAAAATTCTATGCAATGAAATACGTTAATTACCTTCAAAAAATTCAACAACTGTTTCTAGATCATCAAGTTGTCCTGAAATTTTCTTAAGCTCTGGACGTTTGTCAGGATTATGATCCCAACAGCTTTTATAAAGTCGAATATATTGATCTGGTGTACCTTTAACAGGTTCTTCTCTTGTACCTTTGGATATACGAAAAGCAATTATAAACCGGTTTTCAGATGATTGAAATGGCGGCCGGCCACTTGAAATTTCCCAAAGAAGTACACCAAAACTATAGATATCAGACTTCTTGCTACGTTTATATCCGGAACATTCAAAGCATTTAGGATCAATATATGCTGTAATTCCACCTACAAGAACTTTAGGTTCTGAAGTTTTTGATGCCTCGTCTCTTGATAAGCCAAAATCTGCGATCAACATTTTTCCTTCATGAACTAGAATATTTTTGGAGTGCTGAGACGAAAGGATTATTTATTAATAATAAAAAATCAGAATAGTACAGTGCGCGACACATAAAAACTACACAAACTTTAAAAGCAAATAACTTTTGATCTAAAAAGAACCTTAAAAAAAGAAGGCCACCAATTTTGTAGCTAAATCAATCTACTACAACTTAGCAGCTTTACTTTTTTAAAATATCAATTATTTTTTAAGATATATAACTTTAAAAATATAGTATTTTTATATGATAACATATAAAAAAAGTCAAAAATGAGACATATCTTATAATTAGTTATATACTGATAAAAAAAAAAATTTATCTTAGAAGATAAAAATCGTTAACAATTGCTACATAGTAAAATCAAAATTTTACTATGCAAATCGATATTTATGCATTGTTTTGGAAGATCAAATCACATATATTCTGAAAGTTTTACTTAAATTAGATAATTTTTTATTAATGTAAATATGCATATTTCGATTGTGCGAACGGATTTTTAAAAAATTTCGCCTAATCGTAATATGCAAATATTAATTAATAAAAGGTTGCCCGATTTAAGTAAAACTTTCAAAATATATCGATTTACATAGTAAAATTTTGACTTTATTATGTAGCGACTCTTGACGGATCTCAAAATGGGACGCTGTAGTCTTTAAGTGTCACGCACCGTATATGATTCTTTTTCATGTAATATAAATAGAGAATACATACAAGGTCTCTATGAGCTATGTCATTTTCATGTAAGAAGATGAGACCTTCTAAAATTTCACGAGCTATTCGAATTTTATCAGTCCATTCAAGTTTTGTGAAATTTGTTTTCAAATATCTACGTAGATCTCCATTATTTGCAAATTGCAAAACCATATAAAAGTTTTTTGAAATATCTATTATTAAACATATATATGTATATTAATTTCATATCGATCGGTATGTAAACAAAGATTGATTAATTAATCATTGTCGCGGCTGATGCTGAAATCTAGGGCCTCGATTTGAAAATATAAACCCTGCCAGAATCCACATATACTCTTTAATTATCAATTCTATTCCTAAATCCTAACCCAACCCTAAAAAAAAAGCGGAAAAAACACCCCAAAAATTTTATAAAAATTCATAACAAAATAGGTCCAAATTTCAGCATCAGCCAATTTCAGCAACAGCCACGACAAACATTATTTACTAACCTTGAGTGACTCCATAAAATTCAATAATATTTGGGTGCTTATAAACTTTTTTTATTTTTCGTAAAGGCTTAAGCTGAATAAATATAATAATTCGTATGCATTTACTATTATTTTTACATTATGACATAGCAAATAATATAATCTCTTACCTCCTTAACAAATCCCTGAATATCGTTAATTTTTAACTTTTTAAGAGCAACGGTTGATCTACGATTTTTCCATTCTGATTTATACACACTTCCGAATCCCCCTTCTCCAATTTCTTCAAAATCAGGAAATTCCGAATAGTCGTAATATTCAATATCTCCGTTATCAATAGCATTTTTAAGCCATTCCATATTTTAATTTGATTTCTTATACTGTATGTTAAAAAAATTGATTTTTTTTTGGATGATATTTAAACGCAGTAGCGTAAATGATTTTTATCTAGAAATAAAATTACAAACGGAGTAGACAAATTTCATTCATTTCAAGAACACAAACTTAGATATGTATAGGCGTAAGTTCCCAAAAGACTTTGTTTAGTAGCGGTAGTACGACATTTCAAAATTCCTGAAATGGTGGTCGGCTAAAGCGGTGCAAGGTTTAGGATTATCATTTTGATGTATTTATGGTTAATGGTTTATGTTGATATCAATAATGTAATTTATGCAGCATGTAGATCATATATTGATTAACTCCGCTTTAGCCGACCCTCGAAAATGCTACGTAGCATTATGCAGCAAAAAATGTAGAGAATTTTTTTACTAGGAATATTACCCTAATTTTCTGACCTTATTTGTCCCTGTTCAAAACCTGAACCAGTTAAACACGAGTTTCTTTATCACATAAATTTATTATGTAAAATGAAACTTATTGTGCTTAACTCGAGTTCGAAACCGATAAAACTTCGTGATCAGTAATTTTTAACCAAAAAATACGGCGTTAAATTAAATGTATTTTAAAAATAAAGATAATTAAAGTAAAATAAAATAATAATGATAATAATAAAAGTTTTTAATTAATTATGAATTTATGCATATATTACAACAAATAATGGTTGTAAACTACATATTCAAGAAAGCATAATTAATTGCCATATGTATAACCAGTTTTAAAGTGAGTTTGAAATCTAGTTTGTGTGTGTGTTTTGGTATAATGTTTGAGCGAGTTTCTAAGTACAAACTAACCAGTTTAAACATGATACTTAAATAAGTGTAAAAACTATTATACAAAATATTATGGTAGCAACAATTTGTTGTTTTGGATCGTTTGACTTTATACTTGGTGCCGAATTTGTACTTTTCGATGAATTTACACTTGGCGCTGAATTTGTACTTTTCGTTGAATTTATACTTGTTGGACACGATAATGCCCCACATTGCTTACATGCATCTCTAAAACCATATTCACAGACCTCACCAGTAAAATTATTACATTGATAAACATTGTTTGGATTACATCCTGTTATTTTTAAAAAAAGTTAAAATATTATTAATGTGACAGAAAGTTTTACTTTTTTACGTACCAATTTGACCACCACATGTTATTCCTTGAATACCAGAAGGACATACACACGTCGTATTAGGGTTGCAATCAGAAAAAACGATACAGATAAAGAATGCAACAAATAACAGCAAAAATAGGAGATACTTTGAATTCATTTGTAATAAGAAAATCAAAAGAATACATTAGCCCCTTATATACAATTTATAAAAAGCTCTAAATGCATACGATGGGGTCATAAGTAATGCAGAAAATGAAATAAAGTTAGAATAAATTTTCTTATACGTTTCTATTCCTTATTTTATATATTTTAATAGACTATAGCACAGATCATGGATAGCATAGTCATTGAACGTTCTTTTTTTTCAGTTAGATCACACAATTACATACACTCATTTGTAGATTAAATAGAAATAATATAAGCTAGATGCTGTTACCTTAAAATTTTGGTTCTTAAATGCTATGCCTGGCCCGGTGTTACGGTTCCGGAAGAGCTATTATATGTTAGCGTGAATCGTAAACATAAAAAAAAATGGTAGAGCAAGCAAAAACGATTGTGATACAAGCGATTTTATTATGTCGATCAGTTTATTAGTAAGAAAAGATAAAAATACTTCTCCTATTAACGACAAACAACCTTTAGCTATCGCTAAAAAGAAAAGAAAATCATTACATATGATTAAGCAATAATTTTTGCTATAAGAAATATGTAGCAATATTTACGAATAGATAAAAATAGATAAATATTAACTACTTTAAACACAGCTGTTTTCATAATTCCTAAACACCTGATAAAAATTAGCCGAATTATTTTTCGGCCGATTCTGCTAAATTTGTGATTTCGGTATAATAAATTGATATCTATATACGTACGTAATCTAAGATAAAGTGACTCATAAATATTATAAGATACGTGCTGATACGAATAACCCTGGTTAAAGCATCTTCACTGGCAAATAATTGAAAAAAAATTTAGAAGGGTTATCACTTCGAAAAATTACCAAACACTTAGGTGCTAGCATATCTTCGTAAGTCGGGTTCTTGAACACATTCGAAGATATGGTTACATTGAAAAAATTTCTGTAACACATTTCGACAAATATTAATAAATTGTAATTTTTGTAATCATGATCATATTTTTAAGTCAGTCGATAAATTCTTAACCATATCTAACCTTTTTAATTCAGCACCTACTCATTTAATTACTCGTTTAATATGTTTATTATAATAATTTGTTTTATAATTAGGACACTGACATTTATTACGCAATTTTTTAGTGGATGATGTGTACTATAGCAATATCTTACGATACGCATAAACATATGGTATATGATTAATTGGCCAATCACAATTGGGGTGGAGGGGTAGCCCTGCAGTAAAGCAATTGGAAAATGTGAAATTCGTTAAGGTTAGGGTTAGGGTCAGGGTAATAGCTGGAGGGGAAGAACTACGTTACCAACCTGGTACACATTTCCGATTGCTATAGGCATAGTAAATGGATATTACGTAATAAATGCCACTGCCCTTGCTCGTTTAATATGTTTATTATTTTATATAATCTGCTTTATATCTGGCTGATAAGAACAGCCTTTTCCATAAATTTTCACATAAACTAAACACGCTAATCATTCAAACGAAAATTTAATACATTGAACATGTCGATATTTATAGTGATAAAATATGCCTTTTTATATATAGGGTTGGGAAGTTGCTGTAATTTTCGTAAGTTTGTGTAAGTTGTAAATTTCTGAAATCA